TTGCCGACTTCCTACTAGTACAAATTTAGTACTATTGACATAGTCACACAATTAGTATGTTCTGTTTCCACTCGTTTCTGCTTCTCTACTGAAACCATCAATACGAAATCCAAAGTTAATTTAACTAATTCCTTATCTTTCATTAATGTACGGCTTACTTCAGTGAAAAGGTAGTGTACTTTAATCAAATAACATATAATTTGCACACCACACACTAACACTCCAATTGATAACAAAAACTCTTCTTCTACACCACAATTGTATCCATGTTTTATTCCATAAAGAACATGTTTAAAGGTAGGGGGCCAATACAATCATGTACACCAATACAAGTTTTCACATTGAAATGGTCTACTTGACTTCCTTGACTTGCAAGCCTGGTGGCAGGGATTGCTTGATTTTGTCTGCCTTCTCTTTGTCTTGCACAACAAGTGTGTAGAGGAAACGGGAGCAGCGAATCTTGAATTTGGTATTCGTGGGGTTCTTCTTTATTTTGACAGCACGAGCATCAGTGCGGCGTGCTTTGTTCAAAAAATCTTTGACCTCCTTGATTTCGCGCGGCATCTAGAGGAAATGGAGACGCTGTTATTTATATTATCGCAATTTATGCTCACTTTAACTTACATTGAACTTTTTATTAAAAAATTCAAAATTTAAACATGTATTTAGCAAGCCAGTAGTAAAAAGGAAAGGGATATTCTCTTGTCACTTCCGGTTGTCAAACGTAGAAACCCACAGGGTTGCATTGAACTCCGAAACTTTTGTTAGTCAAGATATCGTCAATATATGCAATTTTATTTATTTATTATTAGATGTTGCACATATCGTATATAATAGAAAAATCATTAATTTTGCAGCAATAATTTCATTTTGTAATATACATTCTTATTATTTATATATTTATATTATATATTTTTGTAGTTTGTCATATTCAAAGCACAATTGTAAACTGATAAGATAATTTATATTTTGGAATACAAATCGTACATATTTTTATCGATTAATAGGAATTAATATGAAGCTACTATTTTATTTGAAAATAATATTGATATTAACAAAAAATATAAACCTATAATATAATCCTACAGTAAACCAAAATCCGTGCTAAAATTTGACCATGACACGTCGGAAATTCACATAATTTTACAAGAGTAACTATTGAACCGATGTAGAATGCAA